ATCTGTTAATATTAATTACGAACGAAGCGCGTGTCACGTGTCCGTGTTGGGAGCAGCATCATCTATTACCTGCACTGGTATGAACATTATGCTCCTACTATGCAGTTGCTTGGAGTGGGCCTCCGGCCGCTCCAAGCAACAGCTTAGTGGACCAAACTCTCACAAGTCAAGCCTGGCCTCGGGCTTGGGGAGTAGAAGAACTCCCAGAACCCCATCAACCAGGTATGCTGTCTAGGTGGCGTCACACACCTCGTGTATATCGTATATAAAACACATTTTATTGTTAATTTCGTTAGGTTCGGTTAGGTAAGGATAAGATAAGATAGATTGGGATTGGTTAAGCTAGTTAGGTTAGCTTAAGTTAGGTTAGATTAGGATAAGATAGATTGGGATTGGTTAAGCTGGTTAAGGCTGGGTTTGTATATAGTGGCGATGATGTAATGGGTTACATGCTCTCATCAGGTCTTAGAACTGACTCTGAAAGACCATGCAGCGCCTTCTAGCGAGCGTTCCCAACGTCAAGAAACTGTCGTACTAAAGTGCCTTGGGTCAGATTCACGAAGCAGTTACGCAAGCACTTACGAACGTGCACATCGTTCCTCAATCTTCGACGGCTTTGGTTACATTTATTAAACAGTTTACAAGCATGAAAACTTGCCAATCAACTGTTGTTATTGTTATAAACAGCCTCCTGGTGCTTCGGAGCTCATTAACTGTTTAATAATTGTAAACAAAGCCGCCGAAGATTGAGAAAAGATGGACAGGTTCGTAAGTGCTTGCGTTACTGCTTCCTGAATCTGGCCCCTTGTCCTGACCTACCAGAAAACAAAACGAACAGAAAACGGGGACATTATGTCAATTTCGCGAGCCGCTATCACTTTCTAGTTCGACAATTTTTGCCCTTAAGTAACGTATACGTCAAAATGCGACGTACTATTAGGAGGACGGGTTGGGGGGCTGTTTTAGACCAAGTAGTCCACTGCGTCGCTTGCACCCAAGCTACGACTCCTGGTCACGAGAGTATAACGAGGATCGTAATTATCCCCAGGGTTCATCACTCCACTACTGCAACTCATAAGACAGGATTTGCTCGGGTCCCGTGGCTCCGTTTCAGAGATTACGTGTAGGATGAGTTTGGGGGGAGCGGCTGTGGATTAGACGTGTGGGGGACTGTGGACTAGATGTGTGGGGGCTCTGGGCACAGGAGGCTTGGTCGACGACCGGGCCGCGGGGACGCTAAGCCCCGGAAGCACCTCAAGGTAACCTCAAGGTAACGGATGTGTGGTGGCTGTGGACGTGTGTAGAGCCTGTAAGGCAAGACCGTGTGGGGCGAGTAGTCTGAGTACAGAGATTCGTGGGGCTGAACCCCACGAATCTCTCTCAATATTTAAGCTCCCAGACTCAATTTTTCAAGCCCAAGGATCAGTTTTTTCAAGATTAACAAAAAACTGCAAATGAAAGCACTTGCGTCCTGTCTCGATGTACATCAAGAGCCAATGCACCTCAAGGGAAATTAAATTGAAATTTTCTGAAGGAAATTTGAATGATGTTTTGTAGGTTTTGCGTATTATTGCCGCAAAATTGACCTTGAATCATCGGCCTTTGTTGTAAAGGATCTCCAGCACGCACGAACGCACATGCACGCACAGACGCATATGCACGCACGCGCGCAGTCTCAGATGTTGTTGTTGTTATAGATTCAGCTACTCGGAACAAGTTCCAAGTAGCACGGGATATAGTGAGCCCGTAACTTACCTGGCACAGGAGCAGGGCAAGTAGCACGGGCTATAGTGAGCCCGTAGTGGACTTACCTGGCACAGGAGCGGTGCTGAATTTCGCAGTCTCAGAGTAGGAGCCGAGATATGAGGACAGAGTAAGAGCAGGATTATGAGTTACGAAGAACATCAAGTTAAAAATACAGCAATATTGAATTAATTTACCGAATTTTCAGTGTAGCTTCTGTATTTTTGCCCACGCAAAAATTGAACATCCCTTGTGAGTTGAATTCTTTACTGATGGCACCGCTACCAGAGCAGAGGTTGTCAGTGAGACAATGTTATCATCTGATGAATGGAGGAATCAGGCAGTCATCACGGGGTCATAATCGGACAATAAAGATGGAGAATCACGGTTGAGTCTCCCTGGACCGGATGATCCAATGTCCGGGTGGTTATTTGTTCTCTGGTTTAATAGAGCCGCCAATATAGAGTCTGGGGTCATTTTACAGGCTTCCACTCCACTCGACGCAAAAGCGCAGCATTCTTGAACCACTCGACTGTACACTTCATCAAAATTATTGAGCGGGTCTGCCCGGTGGAGCCCCCAAGGGAAGCATTTGTCTGTCTCTATCGCCCGCCAGCCCGCGCCCATTAATAAGACCCCTGGCTTTGACTTGTCAATATTTTTGACATCAACGAGTACAAATGGTGTATGTCTGCGGTGCACGGGCTGTTCCAGAGTACCAGAGTCCTATGTAGGCGTTGCCGAGTGTCTGGGTACCATCAGGGCATAGACAAGTGCCTGGATACCATGTGGGCATAGCCTAGTGTCTGGGTCCTATTAGGGCGTACATAGGTGTCCGAGTCCTGTGCTGGCATGGCCAAAAGCCTGGGTCACATGCAGGCAATGAGACATGCCTGGGTCCCACGAGGGCATAGATGGGTATCTGGAGCCCATGAGGGCTTAGATAAGTGTCTGGGTTCCAAGAGAGTGTTGCATTGTGCCTGGGTCCCACGCCAGTACAGCCAAGTGCCTGGGTGACATGCAGGTTTAGCAGTGCCTGGGTCCCAAGTATGTGTAGCTAAGTACCTGGGGTGCCATGCAGGAGTTGGAAGTAACTGGTAGATGTAGCACACGAGGTATGGCAACTGTAACCCCTAGCTGTACCCCATATTTACAAGGCATGGCAACAGTGACCCATGACTGTAATACCCATATGCACAAGGTATGGCAAAAGTGTCGCATGCCTGTAACACATACACGAGATATGGCAACTGTAACACTTGTTTGTAACACCCATCAGACGAGGTCTGGCTATAATAATCCATGGCTGTACCCTACACACATGATATATGGCAACAGTGACCAATGGATGTAAAACAAACACACACACCTGCGTGCATTAGGTGTGGTGACAGTGACCCATAGCACATAAGATATGGCAAAAAGTGACCCATTGATGAACTTCACACACCACATAGTATCGTGACTGTGGCATGTAGGGTACTTCCATTGGCCACTAAGTATGTGACAGGTACCCATGGCTGTAGCACGCACTACTGAAGGTATGGCGACACTGACCAATGGCTGTAACCAGTGATGCAAATGGATTTTGGGAACTAGGTATATGCTGTAAAATTATTGGCAAATACAGTATGTAGTATTGTTCGTTATTAGAAATGTAAACAAAATACCTATACCATTCTATAGAGGGCAAGCAAATATTGTTAATTAAATAGGCAATGTTACTTTTACTTTCCTTCCTTTCCACATATCTACACACTCAAACAACTGGGCAATTATCGGTGGAAGTTTGTAAAGCAAACAGCAAAAAACTGAAAGAAGTATCCTAGACACATACTGCAAAACATATATAATTCATTATGTAGGAAGCCAGCGTGTATTCATACTCATTAGGCTTATATCGATAAGCAAGTCCCAGCTGTGACTGGGTACAAGTGACAGGATGAACAACCCAGCGGATTTTCTTCCTATTGGGGAGTGTTGTACATGCTGCTATGGCAGTGTGTCCACTCACAGGCGCCCAATAAACTCGCTCCTCAGGGTAAAATTTAAAAATAGGCAAGTTATTGGGTATATAGAATCGAACTACCTTTATTATGAACAATGTGGTTGTCAATGGATAACACATGGACTATGATGTAGAGAATCAGCTTTCTTTGTTTATAAAAATTTTAACAAGGATTCTTAGAAGAGAATTAGCAGAACTACTTGATCATTGGTGACTAGACTATTGAGGAAATAGTTTGTCTAGCATGTCCTGTCCACCATACTATTAGCATGTGCTTTATGAAACCCTACTCTGCATTGGTTTTCTTGAAAATTTGTTCACAATCAACTATGTATTTTTAAGTATTGAATGAAAACAGTAACATCCTACCTTGCAGTCAGTAGGAATCATGAGTGTAAGGGAGCCTCGGGCAATACATTAATAATGCAATATTACTTACTATTGTTCTGAAGCCTAATCTAAAAATGTTTCCATATAAAGTTCAGGTGCTTTACGAGATTTGCGTAAATGATAAAACTTCAAACACAATGTGCAGATGGCACAATTAGAAGATAGCAAATAGATTAACAGTTTGTGGCTCTGAGATGAAACTCCTTTCCAAATGAGTAGGATAGTTGCCTAAACTACTGCATTGTTCTACGAAAAATCACAAAAAAAGCAACGAATCTATGATAAACATCAAAGCTGTGCGAGTGATGATGCATGTGTCCGAGATGCTTTCACTTACAGCCCTAATATTAAACTGTATTTTGTTTAGGACCTCTGAAACCAGTGGATTTGATCACAACTTTTGCACTCTGCTAAAGTAAAAAGTGTTCATTGACCCTTTAGGGTTGAGGTAGAAATTATGGCAGGATTAATATGTTCAAAATAAATACAATGCTGGATGCATCAAGGTGATGCAATTCTCCATATCACGAAAGTTGCTTCCAAGTGACTTCACAGACAACTGCACAAGCAAATTACTATACATATTGATCACATTTTCTTGATCTGTCCAAAATTTATTTATGTCTGTTGGGCTACGTTGTCATTTGTTTGCCAACAAACTGAAAGTATCGTTGCACTGAAAGATAGGTTTAAGATATTATTAATAGAATTTTTCAGAACACCTCTCTCACTATAACAGTCAACTTTGGAGTCTGGACTGGGATTGCAAAAAAGACATAAAGGACTCAAATTGATCATATGCTATTTTGGAATGGTACAGGTTGCAAAAACTAGTACAGTATGTGAAATTAAATAACAATTAAAATAATTACTTTAATTACTCTCTGCAATTTACAAGTGCATATACAGTTTGTTCTTCAGTTACCTGCAACTTAAATGAGTGACTTCTGACATAGTATATCATAATTATTACCATTGTACATAGCAGCTAAGGATGATTACAGATTACTACTACTACACGAGAAAGGAAACTACTGTACTACATTTTTCCGTTTTTATAAATAGTTTATCAAAGCATTTAGGGGGATACAATGTAGTAAAGTACTTGCTACAATCATTTTCAACATTTTCCATACAATTAATATATGAGAAACTTTTATATATGTATTTATTACACAAGATATTTAACATGTTTATACATTACAGTATATACATTTTACAACAACAAATAATCCAGTGAAATACACAAATATTTCAATGTATATCCCAGCATATGAAAAAGTTGAGCACGATTCTTTTTTTTTCCTGTGCAAAAATCACAAGAGACATTTTATTGAGAAATTCCAAGTTCATGTATCAATAAATCTGAGTAATGTACTTTAAATGCTTGCTCATTGTACATAAGTAATTCATTTCATCTATTTCCAAGATATCAAGTTAAAAGCATGCTTTCTTCAGTATTTTCATAAACTGATACTTATTACAATAATAATAATGCTATAATATTATAATAATAATAATAATGATACTCTTTTATACTATAACATCATTCCTTGTAAAAATATAGGTTGATATCATTTAATTTATAAACTGTATACAGCAAGGAAAAAATAACAAATGAGATTTGAAGGGCATTAAAATTATACTGCATTCCATATTATTCACAGGGATGAAGTGGAATAACCAATTTGGCCCCAAACGGGGATACATAGGTTATGCCTACAGCACTAAATGTTTGTTGTGGTATAGGCAAGTTTATGAGGTACACTTTTCCACGAGCAGGAGTGTAAGCTAAGGGAAGAGAAGGACATAGAAGAACACGAGCAGGCAATGGTGGCAGAGTCGAAGGAATGGCTGCCAGGTCACTAGGTGGGTCTAGTGCAAGAATAGGTGCACGGCAGCTTGAGGCCCAAGCAGTGGTCGAATTCAGCCAGGCCTGACCAGATCCGCCTTCTCCTGCTCGTCCACAGTGATCCAAACGAGCATCAACTATGAGATCAATAGCAGACACGATGCCTCTAGGATCAGATGTTGTGCGGCCATTAGTAAGGGCATAAAGCTGCAGCTCATGAGTGAGCAGCAGAGGAGGTGGAGGTGAAACCAGCACCTGATGAGTGACTACAATAGTCTGTACACCATGAGACTCCAATTGTCTAGCTGCATTAACTCCTGCAGCACCCTGCAAATGGCATCCACACAGCAAAACTACAATTGGTTGCTGTTGACTATTTCCTGTCCCCAACCTGTAAAAAAAGAAATATGGCCCATTATTTATCTATATATACCAATCTGCTTAGATTATTCTATTTCCAACAAATTCGACAGAAAATTTTATCAAACACATGAATAAAAATTCATTATAAATAAAAACATTAATGTCCTCAGAAGGGAATTCATCATAAAGACAACAACAGTAGAGGACAAAGCTTAAATAAATAATAAAATTAAGGTACGTATTTACTGTTTTATATGGCATTATCTTGCAGTCGAAAGTTTTCACAAGAAATTATATATTTCACACATACAAAACATGTGTGAAATGTACACAGTGAATATCACTGTGTACACAATATATATCATATTGTGTATACAATATATATAGTGTACATGGTACACAGAAATATCAAAAGTAGAAACTGAGAGTATAAATACTGAGAGATTAGTAGTGCCTAACTAAATCTAATTAATGATTTACCTGTGACTACCCCCGCTTAGTGAAAGTATGAGCTCTGTGGTAGCACGTCCAATCATTTCCAGCAGCCGAGAATTTGTAAGACCATGCTGATTGGCTGTGGATAGCAGGGCAGCACGGAGCTCACTGCTTACAGAGGGCACAAGTAATCCAGTATCTAAAAACAGAAGCAATTTTGTTTAAATAAAAGATACTGTATATACAAAATACAGCACCTATACAAATCTGAAATATGCTGCAAGAATAATATAAAAGTTGTGCTCTATATAACAAGTACTGTATATTCATTTTTTTGTTTATGAATTATTATGATTAATTATTTAGTTTGTGACATCAGTCTTACACAACAATAATACACAAACAAATTTCTAACCATTAGCATATATAACTTCAGCAGCTCCAGACGTGGGAACAATAATTTGCCTTTTTACTGGTGGTTTAGAAGGCAATACATTCTCGTCACACCTATATTTTTTCTCCGTGTAGCGGTCAGCCTGGCGTACCACATCTGGCTTCAAACTCTGGATTTCCTCAATAACAGCCTATATGTACAATACAACAAATCATCATATATCATGGGTTAACTGTACATATAATGCATATACTGTACAGTCAAATCCTAAATTTACCCAGTAAGATATCCCATATCTTGAGGTTATCTTGAGATAATTTTCGGGGCTTTAGTGTCCCCGCGGCCCGGTCCTCGACCCCCAGGAAGCAGCCCGTGACAGATGACTAACACCCAGGTACCTATGTTACTGCTAGGTAACAGAGGCATAGGATGAAAGAAACTCTGCCCATTGCTTCTCGCCGGCGCCCGGGATCGAACCCAGGACCACGTGTCCAGCGTGCTGTCCACTTGCCCGACCGGCCCTCCCATGTAAAAACTTATAAATCCATTCAATTTTTCACTAATAAATTAATTCCTGTGGGTCATGATTCTCTTTCAGTCATTTGAACATTTTAATTACAACATTAGACACATTTAACTGTACAGTATTGGTGAAAGTTTGAACAAGTGCACATAATTAGATGGTCCTGTTTTTTAGATAAATTAAATAAAAATATTTAGCATTCCTTAGTGAGTGACTAGTTCAAATCTGATCAAGATTAGTTACTAGTCATCCTAATATACTAGTTTGCTAATAAAGTTACTAGAGCATATATTATATACCGTAATTTATGAATGTAGGGAACCCAGTTACCTGTTTGTCAAATAGAGCAAGATTCTTTTCAAAATCAAATTCAGTAGCGAGCAGATCCTCATCAACAGGGGTACCAAAAGTGGTTTCATCCCGAGCACGCCTCATTCTTTCCTTTTTCCCAGGAGTTTTCGAGAGATCATTGCTGTATCTGTCAATACGTCGAGGAGAGCTGTATTCCTGTCCTGCTGAAGCTTGGTTCATTCGTTGCCAATCACCAGCAGATTCTCTATAAAAGAAAAATAATAATAATATGCTTAAGATCTGTCAATGGCTGGCTGAAGCCATCATAAAAAATTGTTGATCAAATATATTTTGTTCAGTGCTTATGCTTCTTTCTGGTGGGTCCTTGATGGCTCCTTGGTGCTTACTACCAGGCAAACTCCACCCAATTCAATCCATGCCAGACCCTTGCAAGTTAAATATAAGCCAACCAGGGCTTATCTTGCCACTGAGGATGAACGTATTTGGAAAACTTAACACATATGAAGCCATTGGTCATTCTAACCTGCAAGCGCACATGGGTAAATCAACAATCAGGATGAAAAGGCACTCATTTACCAAACTCTGGGTGCCCCTGAGCCTCAGATACCCCAGGAAGAACAGGCACTGGAACAAAGCTGGGATCCACTTTAGACATAGAAGACAGAAAAACAACTCTATCCATGGCCTTATAACTATCCTGAGAAATAAAAATCAATGGATTTTTAGAGGGAAGCAGCAACCGTCCCTTTTTCTTTGATGGTGCAGGTAGTTGCTGCACCATCAAAGAAAAAGGGACGGTTCCCAGAGAAGGCCCAAACATACCTAAAGTATCAACACCCCCAGACTCCAAAACTCTCAGACGTTTTGGAACTGGGATCATAGGAGGAGGGCCTGGGGCCCATTAAATAAACCAGCTAACCCTGAGGAAGGAAATGGAGGAGCAAACTCGGAACCAGTAGAAAACACCAACTGCTTCAAGATCAGATTCTGTAAAGAAAAGGGGGCTGACCCTATAGCAACCATATCGATGCATGTACAAATAACAAAACGAAAGAAAAAAAGAAAATTCATATAAATTGAGATGACCAACATTATTTACATAATGACCAAGGGATTAAAGTGCAGTAACGAGAAATAAATCAAGTATCAGTTTTACCACCAATAGGTAAATCTGGCGGAGATTCCTGGTAAGGATGAAATGGCTGGTAGCAAATCAGGTGATAGAAAGGAATTATGAAATAAGGAAGAAAAATCATAATTTGCAGAGTGAATTAGCAGCTGTTAAGGTAGCTTAAGAGGAAGTTCAAGATAGCTAGATGCTTCGGCCATGACTGAAAAGCAAAACTTTAGTTTTGAGAGAGTATCTTTCATAAAATTATATAATTTGGAACGGACCTGGTACTTGAAGAATGCGGCCCATGTGCAAGAGTCTCTCCGACAGACGTACGAGGTTTACGTCTAATTTGCTGCACTTCATTCACTGAACTTGCTGGTTGAACCACCTCTGCTGCAGCTATTGCCTGCTGTTGTGGAGAATTCTTCAACACTTTCTGGTGAGAAGTACATTGCTGTTCTGTGCCATCTTTCGGTTTTTGAGGCTGTTGTTGACGAGATGGTGTCTGAGGCTGGACAGTCTGCTGCACGTGCTGTCCCTGCTTTGAATTTATTTTTTGCTTGTGGTCATCCTCACTACCAATAGTTGGACGTGAGAGGATCTGAAGATCTATGATGTCACCAGCACTGAAATCATTAGTCAATAAGCAAAATAAGTTTAACAAAACTAATACCCACCCCTTTTCTAAAAGTGTCACACTGAAAATGGTTTCGGAGCTTAATATTACTGTTTAATGCCTCTGTACCGACTTGTGGTTCATCGGGAGTATAGAAGGCCTGGTCGAAGACCAGGCCGCGGGGACACTAAGCCCCGAAATCATCTCTAGATATGATAGATCAACACTTCTGGAAGCACATGTTCTTTTGTTACACAGTTATTACAAAACTGAAACTATGCATGCAACAATTTTTGCATTACATGAAACACCAGCATTATGGATCTTACCAACACAAAATGTATTTCCAATTGATCAACATTAATCAACCTGGTGCTGCAACTTTTATTAAAATATTAAAAATAAATAATGAAACAATTATAGGCACTTAGATTATAAGTTTTTTGGAGGCCCTGTTTGAACATAAAAGAACTTACTTGATGGTAACTTCAGAGAGGGCAGCTGGGCGACCATTGTGAAGAACTCGAGTAACTGTAATGGTCTGCCTCTCGATGTTGATGCTCACTACCCGGCCTTGGTACCACCCCAGGCCACCCCCCACCTGCACAGACACCACGCACCCAACATAGTCACTGCACATTTTGCGTGTCTGTCAACTGAAAGGGAATTTGACTATTGAAGAAAATACTTCAAAATGTTACAGTTGAAGTTAAAATGGTTTAAGGATCTTAAATAAATTACAGTTTTCAAATCAACAAAAAGATACCAATGCCACTACCCAAAGGTAGTGCATAGCTTAGTTATCTGTTACATTGCTGCTCCAGAATTTAAATATATTCATTATGTAGCACTAACACCCAAAAAAAAATAGATACAGTACAATGTTTCTAGATTACTTTACCATATTCAGAAGACCCTCTAAGTAAAGATTCACAGAGTCTGTCAATCAGGGTTGTGAAAAGTCACAGGCACTGCCATCATAGGGAATTTAAACAAAAAATCCAGGGTCACAGCCTAAGATAGTGTTGCAGTATAATAAGTATAATTATATTATTATACTACAATGTTGTACGTATAATATTGCTGCAACACAGGTCACATGGTAACACAGTACATCAGATTTTTTTAGTTTCTTCTTTATTTTAGAGTTTTTATAGTGTTTCTAAAGCCGCTAGCACGCATAGCATTTCGGGCAGGTCCTTAATACTAATTTTTCCCTGGAATACGACCCGCCAAATCGTTTAAGAATCAGGGACCCATTGACTGCTGGGTAATCAGAGGCAACAGTTAAGGATTGGGTCCCGGTCAATCCTCCCCGGCCAGGATACGAACCCAGGCCAAAGTGCTGGTAAACATTCATTTCAGATGGTTCAGAATATAAAAAAAGATGATGACATTGAGAAAAATGAGACTCACGTCCCTAAAACCCTACTACTACTATTTATTAAATATATAAATAAAATAAACATCTTTTGTATGGTGACCTATACCAATCTTTACAATGCCTAAAGCCACTATTACGATTGATATAGGATTGTTACTTGCTTAGCTAAACGATCTATGAGTTCAGTTCCTGAACCGATTATGTGCCTCTGTAACCCCTTTCCACCACGGCCCACGGAATAGGTATTGGGTGCATAATATAGAAAGAAATTGAAATGAATATACCTATATCAAACTAGACACGGCAACGAAATTCTCTGCCTCATTACCGCTACACATTACCATCGTAAATTAACTGCAAATTTAAAGTTAAAACACAACAATGTCTCACCAGATTAATGAGCAGTATTCCACTAACGTAATTATACTGTTCAGAGGCTAATAATAAAAGTTCAAGCTCGTGAAACCATCACTAGCTTGAGAGTCAATGTTGTTAAAATGTACCGTTCGTGAGCGATGAAGATGTGACGTCTCGATATAAGTCATGACGCCACATTCATCTTACTTTTTTTATAAATAATATTAAAAGAAAAGAGAATAAATAATAAATATGTATAAATATTTTACTATAAATTAAATTTACTTGTTTTCAATTGGTTAAAGAACTATATGTATAGGTTTTGCAGTACAGTTAATGTTCTAGTAAGCATGACCTCTTCAAAACTTACAGTTCTAAACAATTTGGAGTATACTGATATACAGACCACTTGCAGGCGATGAATCACAATAACGGGCTGAAGTATGTTGACCAGACCACACACTAGAAAGTGAAGGGACGACGACGTTTCGGTCCGTCCTGTTCTCAAGTCGATTGTGATGATTGAAGGAGAAGGCAATAAATAGGCAGAAGAGAGGTGAGAAGAAAATCTTAGAGGAAGAGAAGGCAAGGCGAAGGTTGGGAAGGTAAGGTGTAATAAAGAGGATAGTAAGAATGAGAAAACAAGAACACAAGAAAGTGAAGGGACGACGACGTTTCGGTCCGTCCTGGACCATTCTCATCGACTTGAGAATGGTCCAGGACGGACCGAAACATCATCGTCCCTTCACTTTCTAGTGTGTGGTCTGGTCAACATACTTCAGCCACATTATTGTGACTCGTCGCCTGCATAACAACACAAGAACGAAGATAATTGTAGAAGGCCCATACGAGGCAGCTCCTTTTTATTCCACCCAATAAGATAGTAAAAGGAATAAGAGAGGGAAATAGTAGGAATAAGAAGGAAATCGTAAGAGAAAACAATGGAAAGAAAAAGAAATAAAAATGAGAAGAAAAAGAGAGATAAATGGAAGTGTAAGCTTTTGTTAGGTCACATTTGTTAGAAAGTTTAGAGCATTTAAGTATATAAGAACATAAGAACAAAAACAACTGCAGAAGGCCTATTGGCCCATGCGAGGCAGCTCCTATTTATAACCACCCAATCCCACTCATATACATGTCCAACCCATGCTTGAAACAATCGAGGGACCCCACCCCCACCATGTTATGCGGTAATTGGTTCCAAAAATCAACAACCCTGTTACCGAACCAGTATTTACCCAAGTCTTTCCTAAATCTAAACTTATCCAATTTATACCCATTGTTTCGTGTTCTGTCTTGTGTTGATACTTTTAATACCCTATTAATAAGAACATAAGAACATAAGAACAAAGGTAACTGCAGAAGGCCTATTGGCCCATGCGAGGCAGCTCCTATTCTATAACCACCCAATCCCACTCATATACTTGTCCAACCCGTGCTTGAAACAATCGAGGGACCCCACCTCCACAATGTTACGCGGCAATTGGTTCCACAAATCAACAACCCTGTTACTGAACCAGTATTTACCCAAGTCTTTCCTAAATCTAAACTTATCCAATTTATACCCATTGTTTCGTGTTCTGTCCTGTGTTGATACTTTTAATACCCTATTAATATCCCCCCGGTTATGTCCATTCATCCACTTGTAAACCTCTATCATGTCACCCCTAACTCTTCGCCTTTCCAGTGAATGCAACTTAAGCTTTGTTAATCTTTCTTCATATGAAAGATTTCTAATTTGGGGAATTAACTTAGTCATCCTACGCTGGACACGTTCAAGTGAATTTATATCCATTCTATAATATGGCGACCAAAACTGAACTGCATAATCTAAATGGGGCCTAACTAGAGCAAGATATAGCTTGAGAACCACACCAGGTGTCTTGTTACTAACGCTGCGATTAATAAATCCAAGTGTCCGATTTGCCTTATTACGAACATTTATGCATTGATCCTTTTGTTTTAAATTCTTACTAATCATAACTCCCAGATCCCTTTCGCAATCCGACTTCGCAATCACAACACCATCTAGCTCGTATCTTGTAACTCTATCATCATTACCTAACCTCAGAACTTTACATTTATCAGCATTAAACTGCATCTGCCAATCCTTTGACCATTTCAAAACCCTATCTAGATCAACTTGAAGTGATAGTGAGTCCTCCTCCGAATTAATTTCCCTACCGATTTTCGTATCATCGGCAAATTTGCAAATGTTGCTACTCAAACCTGAATCTAAATCATTTATATATATTATAAACAACAGAGGTCCCAGGACAGAGCCTTGAGGCACTCCACTTACAACATTTTCCCACTCTGACTTGATTCCATTTATACTAACTCTCTGTTTCCTTTGGTATAGCCATGCCCTAATCCAGCTTAATATAGCACCCCCAATACCATGAGACTCTATCTTTTTAATCAGTCTTTCATGTGGCACTGTATCAAAAGCTTTGCTAAAGTCAAGGTATACAACATCGCAATCCTTACCACTATCAACTGCCTCAACAATGCTAGAATAAAAAGATAACAAATTTGTTAAACATGAACGGCCATTTATAAAACCATGTTGCGACTCAATTATTAATTTATGTTTTTCAAGATGAAGACGAATTTTATTTGCTATTATAGATTCGAGTAACTTTCCCACAATAGACGTTAGGCTAATTGGTCGATAGTTAGACGCAAGTGATCTATCTCCTTTCTTAAAAACTGGTATCACATTAGCAACTTTCCAAAACTCTGGCACTCTGCCTGACTCTATTGATTTATTAAATATGGTTGACAGTGGGTCACAAAGCTCCTCTTTGCATTCTTTAAGCACCCTGGCAAACACTTCATCCGGCCCTGGGGATTTGTTTGGTTTGAGTTTTACTATTTGTTTAAGAACATCCTCCCTGGTAACTGCTAAACTCGTCAACCTGTCCTCGTCCCCACCCACATAGACTTGTTCGGCTGAAGGCATATTGTTAAGTTCCTCTTTAGTAAATACAGATACAAAATATTTATTAAAAATACTACTCATCTCTTCATCACTATCTGTTATTTGACCTGTCTCAGTTTTTAATGGACCTATCCTTTCCCTAGTCTTAGTACGATATAACTGAAAAAACCCTTTAGGATTTGTCTTTGCTTGCCCTGCTATGCGAACTTCATAGTTTCTTTTTGCTTTCCTTATCTCTTTTTTAACATTTCTAACCAGTTGTACGAATTCCTGTTCTAAAGTGACCTCCCCATTTTTAATCCTTTTGTACCAAGCTCTCTTTTTACCTATAAGGTTCTTCAAATTCTTTGTTATCCACTTTGGGTCATTAGTATTCGATCTATTCAATTTGTATGGTATACTACGTTCCTGTGCTTTGTTTAGAATATTCTTAAATAAGTTATATATTGAATCCACATCGAAATCCCCATTTAAGTCACCTATCGCTGGGTTCATGTCTCGCTCCAAGACCGGCCCACACCCCATACCCAAGACTTTCCAATCAATTTGACCCAAAAAATTTCTTAGGCTATTAAAATCAGCTTTTCGAAAATCTGGCACTTTAACAGAATTTTCTCCTACTGGTCTATTCCATTCTATGCTAAATCTGATTTCTTTGTGATCACTGCTCCCTAGCTCACTCCCTATTTCGATGTCATTAATTTGCGTTTCCCTGTTAGTTAACACTAAATCTAAAATATTATTTTCCCGTGTTGGTTCCTTAATGTGTTGCGTAAGAAAGCAATCGTCAATTAATTCTAGAAAATCTTCTGCTTCACTATTCCCTGTTTTGTTCAACCAGTTTATTCCGCTAAAATTAAAGTCACCCATGACATAAATACTGTTAGATCTAGATGCTCTAGATATTTCATCCCATAGATGCTTTGCTTCCATTCTGTCTAAATTTGGTGGCCTATATATTACTCCTATTATAATATTATTAGCTTTTTCGTTTAATTCAATCCAAATAGTTTCTGTGTGTGGCTCTGTTTTGATTCCCTCTTTGAGACTACATTTCAAATTGTCCCTAACATATATGGCTACTCCACCTCCTCGTCTAATATATCTATCTGTGTGAAATAGTTTAAATCCATATATTTGATATTCAGCTAATAGTTCTCTATTTTCTACATTCATCCACGTTTCGGTAAGTGCAATAATATCTATTTTTTCTGTGCAGACAAGAGCATTTAATTCGTTAATTTTATTTCTTAGACTTCTACTGTTAGTGTAATATACCCTAAGTGAATTGTTATTTTGCGGACCTTCTCTTTCCCTGATCGTTTTGCCAATTCCTTTCTCCCACAAACACATACTTTTATTACCTCCTTCCTCCAAATCAATTCCCATACCTCTATCTACTAACAGTTTAAACCCAAACAAACACCTCTAACCACTTCTTCTAACGAGTTCGCAACAGCAACAACCCCAGCTCTCGATAGATGCACCCCATCACGAGCATACATTTCATTTCTTCCATAGAAGTGTTCCCAGTTGTCTATGAAAGATATTGCATTTGATTTGCAATATCTTTCCAGCCGGCAATTGACACCAAGTGCCCTCGATATCCATTCATTTCCCACTCCCTTTCTTGGAAGAATGCCACATATGATCGGGATTCCTCCCTTGCTCCTAACTAACTCTATGGCTGTTTTATACCTCTGAATCAGTTCCTCACTCCTAACTCGACCAACATCATTTCCTCCCACGCTAATGCAAATAATGGGATTGTTCCCATTACCAGCCATAATATCATTCATGTTGTTTATAATATCACCAATGCCAGCTCCGGGATAGCAAACCCTTAACCTGTTCCCCCTATCTCTAGCACAAAACGTTCTATCCAAATACCTTATCTGGGAATCTCCCACAACTAATGTTTGCTTAGGTACTTCCTTTACCCTCTGAGGGGCCTGCGCTTCCTTTCTCTTCGTTGCTTTCCCTTTTGCGCGATCCACAGTCTCTCCACAGCACTCGTCCTCCAAAACGTCAAATGAATTAGAGGTTGCTATGGCGTTTGAAGGCGGCTTTATCAAAGTCTTCTTAAGGCCCCTGTCTTTCACAACTCAATTAATATCTCCTTTTAATACCCTATTATTATCTCTTTGTATTTTATGCAACCTTTGTATTAACCATAAGTAGTTACTAAAATTACTAACTTGTAGTTTATCATG